TAACATTAAGAAAATGCCTAACATCTAAAGTGGTCCAATAAGGGAGTTCAAAGAAAATACATGTCACACTCCTAAAATAAGATATAATGGGCACAAGATATTGGAACAAAACTCATATCCCAAAATTCTTAACTTAGAAACTTTAATTTATAAACAATAAAGATATTTGATGGAAACTTGAACCATTTTCAAGACGAATCATATGAATAGAAGATTCAATATTTTTGTAAAAAATTTGATAGAACTTCCCTTGAAAGTAGAACCTTTCAAAAATTCTATAACAGTTTTAGATAACAACAACAACAGTAAGGAGCTTTGCTCTTATTAGCAAAATATAAATAATGAGGACGAGGACCCTAATTATAGTTTATGTGTTGTATTTGACATAAGATTTATAAAATATAATACATGGATTTAAGTTTATATTATAAGAAGCTTGATCTACAATTCTTCATTGCAACTGAATACTATAGCTCCTCAATGGTTAGCAGGAGATACAATAGCAAATAATATATCTAAGATCAAAATAATAATTTTTAATGAATAACGTTCCAATAATGATAGAATTTAAAAGAAGAGATTGAATAAACTTCAGCAATTATGTAAATAAGTGGAAAGAGAATGATGCAATATAACATGCTCACCGAATCATGAATCAAAAATCAGAAACCATTAACTAAAACACTCTCTCTTTTATTCTTGAGGAATCAAATGATTTATAAAAGAGAAGAATAGGTAACATACTTGCTAACTAAAACCAATAAAATTTAAATACACAAATCAATTAAAAGTTCAAAATGTTGAGGACTTAACAAAATAATTAACAAAAGTGGACACACAGCCTATGAAGATAACTAATCAAATGAAGCCTAAGCTATGAAAACATGAAAGACTCGTGTTTGAGTTAGAACATTCATCTTAATTTAGTAATTTAACCACCTTCAAGCACTAGACCCAACATTTGTCGGTTTATTAACAGTTATTTAATTAACAAAAATTAATTAAACTATAAAAAATTTGTAATAATCAAACTTTAGCCCCTTAAATTTGTTTTAGTTATCAATTTGATCCTTTAAGTTTAATGTCTGTTAATTAAGTCCTTAAAGTTTCATAATCATACACAATTAGTCCTTACAATATTATTTTCCTTTCATAGAATTAATTATGTATGGTTTTGAAACTTTAAGAACTTGGTTGAAAAAGAAAATTAAATTTCAAGAATGAAATTGATAATTGAGACAAATACCAACAATTTATTGTACAAACATGTTTTTAATTTATTTCAAACATTAACATTATCTAGCTTGAACAGTTGAACTTCTACAAAAGAAATGTGGAGCTTTACAAAAGGATAGAAGTCATTAGCAAGAAAATGCAGAATTGCGGAAGGTATCATTAGATCATGTATTCAATTGCCTGTGCTGTTAATCTATTCATTCATATGTACTCTCTCCATCTCACATTAGAAAACACTTTTAGACCAAATTTTACATACAAAGAAGTCTCATTAATACACTTAATAACCTTATTTTTAAAAAAAATGCCAAAGTATACATTTTAGTCCTTTAATCCTAACTTTGTTAGTTTTATCCTAACAAATTTTTACATCAAACTTTTAAATATTGACAAAATATTTTTAAACATTAATATATTAAGTTTATTTTAAATAACAATGATTGATAAAAAATAATTATTTGAAACTAACGATGTTAGGGTTAAAGACCTAAAAAGATATTTTACAAAATCAAAGGATTAAATTAAAACTTTACATAAAGTTAGAGAACTAAAAGTGTACTTTAGCCTTTTTCAAAAAAAAATATAAACTTTCAAAAAAACTATTTATTTAATATATTGAAAAGAGAGAAGAAAAAGAATTAAATAGAGAGATAAATAGTAATATTAAAATAATTATATTTAATGAAACCTTAATCCTTTTAAGATCAACAATTACTAACATCACAACCTTTAAGATCAACAATTCCAACTAAATCAAACTTTAAATCCTGTAATGACATCAGCAAATTCCAAGTCCAATCTCAAATCCCACAAAACAACCTGGTTCAAGTCATAACATTCATCTTAATTTAGTAATTCAACCTCCTTCAGGTGCTAGAGGCCCATTAATTACCATTTTGCATTATCCTTGATGACAAAAGCATAAAAACATAACATATAATATTTGATGAGTTCCAGTATGCTCAAAATGCCCTAAATCTAGCAATATACATGTTCAACACAAGCATAAGAGATGAGGGTTTACTACAAAGATAATGGCCTCAATCTTCAGATGTCTTCGATCCTTTGCTTCTATCAAACCCCTTGCTGGAGAACATTGAAATCACAACGGTGAGACATTATCATATGAGTAATCATAGAACAATTTACAAATGAGTATATAAGGTTGGTTATGATAATGCTAAATCGGTTCACAAGTTGAAAACCTTTTATAAACATACTCTCTATATAAAACTCAAATGCCTATTCATGAATAGAATTATGCATGAACAACCTCAATTGTCCTAATAAATCACCTTATTTCTTCTTACTAAGCCCATGGGCTAGCTACAAATCACATAGCAGGATTTGATCATATAATTGGATTACTCCAAGTTCACCAATCAGGATGAAAGCCTACTAATTTCAAAGACCAAAGACCGAAAACCTCCAAATTTTACCTCTATATATGATTGGAACATCTCATCACCCAAATCAAATTCCCTCTTCAAATTACCCATTTATTTTACTTTCATTACTCATTTTATTAAATCTCACAAAATATTTAATATTTTGAAGTGAAAGTTACTGCATTCTAGATTATACTAAAAGAACATTTTCACAATAGATTGTATAAAAATTGAACTTGCAAAGTGACAGATATGCCTACTCTAAACAAACTTTCAGTTGGTCTTGAACAACAATAAACTGAGCATGCTCCAAATGACTTCTCTATATAGATTCAGTGTAATAATCATTTATTCAGTGCAACCAACATATCCTTTATGTTAGTTGTTGACTATTATATCTCGGCTTGCGGCTTCAACAGGAACAGTTTAAATCCCAAACAAGTAGATTTCGTAAGGAGCCACAAATATGACCTTTCAAACATGTATATATTTACAATTAAAAAATGTCATAAACTGATTTGATTTCTATAGTTTCAGAGAGAATTAATCCCTTTTTGAGCCAAACCTAATGAAATCTCTATCACTTATGATCATATAAATTCATCTAGTGTATATATTCTTTCAGAAAGTTTAATTTCCTTGAGAAACATTATTCTTGTATGATTATTGCAAGGCAAGGGTTCACATGTCCTTTTATTTTATTTAACTTTACAATTTAATCTGATCAAAGGTAAACAAATTAAATTCCAATGAATAGACTGCAAAAGATCAAGTAAAAAAAAAAAAATTCAACACTTGGCACCGTTTATAGCTTTATATACCAAGTACAGAGGGCACTTTCAGTGTCCGTTAAAGGTGACTTTCTACATTAGTTTAGGAATCAATGCCGAATCAACCAGTACAAAAAGTCAAGGCTCTCTGACTTCAGCATCAGTTATTTGACTGGGGTAGAAAGTTACAAGTGGCACGAAAAAGTGATGATAATTTAAAAAAGTATATTTCAGCATTGGTTATTGAATTACTGCAGTATACTCCCTTGGTTTCTATGATAGAAAAAAAAAATTGTATCACATAATTTAATAAAATTAATTAATTATATTAATTGTATCTAAAAATAAAAGAATTGATCTATAATATCTTTTATTAATTGTGTTTATTAAGCATTCATTAATTGTTTTCTATGACTATGAATGATAAAATTGAGGAAGTTTGTAATAAATGTCTATTAAAAATATAATTTTGTTTATATAAAAAAAGTTAAAAGTGATAGTTTCTTCCATAAATAAAAATGGAGGGAGTAGAAAGTTACATTTTACAACCTGTTGTTCTATAACCTGTTTAGAAAGTGAACGCAATTGGTGTAAAAAAAAAAAAAAAGGGTAACAATTTTTAAAAAATATTAAACTTGTGGCATTGGTTTTAGCCTGTTTATGACTACAGCCGGTGCCAATAGTGGTTTTTAGGAAAAGGATTGCTATATTATCCTCTGCTTCCACCTTGTTGTTTACATGAACTTACAGAAACAACAGAATCCAGAAGCAAAAAATCAACAGTCTCAAGTTTATGTTCATACTAATTAATCCATTAAACACATAAGTTATTGTACATCTAAAATACACAACTTATTGTACAATAAAACAAAGTAAATATAAATTACCAAGTGTGGAAAGAAAATATAAATTATTTTTTATTTATATTTAAGTTTCTACACCAGTTATTAACGAAACAAGTGTAGAAACAGCAACAATATTTTTTGAATTAGATAAGTCATTATACTCTTGTTGTTAACAAACCCGGTGCAGAAAATAAGTTAAATTAATTTTGTTTTAATTTTGATTAACTTTTTACACTGGTGGTCTTATTAACCGGTGTAAAAAGTTTTTAATATTGATTGCTTTAGGAACTGGTGTAAAAAGTATTGCATTCTCGCACCTTATATACAAAATTGTGACCAGTCAAACTTTTAACACCAGTTACATTTTAAGTGGTGCCCCAAGTAGGTGCAAAAAATATTTTCTGCACCAGAGAAATTGTCTAAAATTTATAGGAACATGCATATCCAATATGGTTGACCTTAACAATAATAGAAATGATTCCTAATAAAATGAACCACCCATATCATATAAGCATTGATGCTATTTTATTTCTAACTAATTTGTTGAAGTGAAATATACTTAAAAAGAAGCGAAATAATTCTTCAAGAAACATCTCTTACAAGAAAGTTGGTGGCAGCATGGTTTTGAGGATCCAGGTCAAAGAGTTATTGCTAAAGGAGCTGTAATCTGTCATAAAAATCAAGTGCTTAGTCGTAATTTTTGAGAATGAACAACATTTACACAATCAAATGTGTGTGTTCGAGTTGTGTATATTTTTATTTTATGAGTTTGATGGATTATACTCCAATTTCGACGCTTTAGCTGGTGATTCAGTACTTTGAGACTGTGGCTGGCTCAGCTCAAGATGGATAGGTGAATGTAATCCATACTTGTTGCTGATAGTGTTTGTAGGATTAGAATTCCCATTTTCCTCATTCATAACCCTTTCTTCACAAATCTAAGGAAAGAAAAAAAAAATCCTATGAAAACTTGGATGGAGAACTTGAAACATTTAGCTTTTAAATGAATAACACAGGCTCACAAGCTTGGTAATGCCTTCCTCTTCCCTCCTTTGTTCTTGTGTAAATGAGGGCAAGCTTGTTTATTGTATACATGCATATATGCTTTTGTGACTGGAATAAATTATACAATGAAAAGACAGATACCTTAGTCTGTAATTCTGCATTTTCTTTAGTGATGACTTCTATCAGTTTATGGAGTTGTACAATTTCTTGACGAATTTGATTTTCCTGCAATAGCATTAATAAAATTGACAGAAATTATTGGAAGTCCTATCTTACATGGCGAAATCAATCTAGAATTCTTGAATACCTTTTGTTGTAGCTCTTTAATCTCTTCAGTTAAAATATGATCCTGCCAACAAATCAATTATCAAGTTATGGAAATCATATATGCTTGTCCTGCAAAAGTGGTGACATGCTAAATTAAATGTAGATATGAGTTGAAATTATCTATCATGCCCTTTTGATTTGGAAATTCTTCAAACTCATCTCCATTTGATTTTCCAAATTTTTCAATTCATTAATGTTCAAACCAGAAAGTTGTTCACCCATCAATTGCCAGCATTTCCCAAAAGGAAACAAATTATTTGAGGTTTTCTACATGTTCCAGTTTGTTTTATTTAAGGTATGTTTGAGAGTATATGATGGAATAAAAAGGAACAGTCATTAATAGAATGAAATGAGGTAAAGAGGGACAGGGTGGAACAAAAAGGGACATTTCATTGTTTGGAAGTTTTATTAAAGGAATAAATGATTTTATTTAATCATTATTTTAGAATAATTATAAAATTAATAAATTTGAATTAGATATAATTATATTTTTCAATTTAATGATGAGAGAGAGTGAAAGAGTGAGAGAGGTTGAGAAGGATGAAGATAATTTGATAATAGTGTTATTTATATTGTATCATTCTATCCTTGACCCATTGAATTATGGGGTCAAGAAAAATGAGTTTAGAATAGCAAAGGATGAGTTAGAAGGCTACCCTAAGCCATTTCACCCTCTTTTAAAAAATTCTCTCAAACAATGACACAAGGCTTCCAGCTACCACATTCCATTCTATTCCATCTTAAAACAAACTCTCAAACATTACCTTAGAGTATAAAAAGGAGGGAGACAATCGTGCTTTTGAAGAGATAGTTTATGATAGTTGAGTGAGTTTAGAAGTAATGAGTTGTAGGGCTTGGTCATCTGCATATTCCAAGCCGAGATCAACATTTTGTTATGACAAAGTAATTACTAATGCTCGTTCCAATATGTATCTGATTTTCTTATTTTACCTCTGCAATTCCTGCAAGTGTTGCAGTTTCTGCCTCAAGATCGTTGCTTCTCTCTGCCACAACTAACAAGTGCAAGCACATATATAGAATATTAGTTAATAAATTGTAAGGAAGTAGGCATGATATAAGTAGGAAGACGCTTCCAAGTCCAAATCTCTTCATGTACGGTTACTTGTAATTATTTTCTGTTTGGGAAAAATATAAATTTTAGTCCTTAAGCTTTTTTTATTATCAATTCAATTTCTAAACTTTGACTCGAAATAACCCAATTCTCATAGTTTTTTGATATGATATAATCCAGTTTCTATAATTCCTTAACTCAAACCATAAGAATTGAGTTGTATGAGTCAAAGTTCAAATACTAAATCAATAATTAAATGAAAGTTTAGGGATTAAAAGTTATATTGTCCTTTTTATATATTAGTTGATCAATTAGTTAATCTATCTATGTATAGAAAGCTGTGGACAAGTAGGTATGACATTTATTTAGGAGAAAATAGTAAAAAAATTGTTTGAGATGATTTTGTTATATGCTTACATGGCCAAGGCTGATGGAAGTGCTAGGGAGTAGCTAGGACATATGTTAGTATAAAGAGATTAAGAGGAAGACAAAAAGAAGAAAACTCGAGAATATCAATTGAGATCTATTGGTGAATGGTATATCAAAATAGTAGGTTGTGAGTTGGTGCTCCTTTAGTTTCTAAGCTCATCAAGGCTTGCATTTTTTTTTTCTGTCTATACTAAAATTAATTATTTTTCATTTTTTAAAAAAAATTAGGGCTTTTGTAGATATAGCCCATGTTATAGGACTAAATCAAGCAAATAGCCTAACATTTATTATATTTTGCATCAGTGCTAGTTTATTATATTTGTCAATGATATACCGTTGTATATCAATGACAAACTCCTTGTAAATTTTAAAATTTTCAATAATAAACCTCTTGTATATCAATAATAAATCCCTTACATATTAATGTGAATTGGCTGCACTCTTACATTTTTAAAAATTTGGTTCCTATTTTCTGGACGCAAGATTCATTTTGACTAGTGAGCCAATTTATCCAAAAATTTTCTTGCCACTTAATCCTCCCGCCCCATTTATCGTTCTCTCTTTCTGCAGCATAATCTTGCCTGGAATTATGTATGACTTTTGAATGTCTAGTAATCAATAGGAAGAAACCATTAAAAAAAAAAAAATCTGACAGATGGTACTAGGTCTTGTACCTTGGATTCTGAAGCTTGATTCATAAGCGGATGATGTTCCTCTTTTTGTTTATTGTAGCGGTCAATAATTGACTTCATGCTGTCATAAACAGAGAATTCAAACAATAAGATAAAAATGAAGCTTTTCTCTGTATAATTGATAAGTAATATCGGATGATCTTCACTAGCCAATGCAGTTCCACCCCTTAGACTCATATTGTACATTGAGTGTGTTATAGAACACAACGTGTTATACATAGAACATTTTAAGCTAGCATGTTATTATTTATTTTTATTCGGTGTCATATGATGAATTTTTTGAGTCTTTACTATCTGAAAAACTTTATAGTTTTTTCTTTCTATTCATTTAGTCCCATACGGACATTATGGGTTTAAATCCTTGGTTCTTATTCTAATGTCTAAGCTATAACTCAACCAATGTAATTTCACTTAGCCTAGCACGTCTAGAATGTATTTTTCTTGACCCAATATGACTGACAAACACATGAATTTTTTATTCAGCTATTCAATAATTAAAATAGGATGTAAAATCAAACAAAGGAACAAGCATTGCAAAGCAGTCACGACCACATATTATGGTCAACGTAACAATTTTAACTTTAATAGTCGCAATGTCAGAGGATCCTACGTTGTCAATATCAACAAATAACCGTGCACATGACATACACCGGAAGATTAGCTAAACATATGCATTTTAGCTAGCTTCATATTGATCTGGAAAATCTTAACTGGAGAGTTGAGCCAAATAATCACGTATTATCTCATGCACATCCTCTTAAAGTTTTAGTTAGATTAAGCTAACTAGTTTTCTTGTTTGCTTAGAGAGAGAGACAGTAAATTTCAAGCACACTCCATTTCTTTGTATAACAGTATAAAAACACACTCACTAAACTTCTTTAAAAGTTGTAATAAAACTTGTTGACGCAACTTCAACCTTTTAGATTCCTTTTGAGATAGAATTGGATGCTTCATCGCATAACCCCTACTTGCTCTATAACTTTTCTATCCATAAATCATAATAAGTGTTTGTAACTTCCATAAGTTCCTAATAAGTGCTTTTAAATACTTTTAAATCTCATAACCCCCTCTATTTAGAATTAAGTTATTTCATAACCTCTCCAGTTACCCTCATTCCATTGTGTTCAGATCACGAAAGAATAATACAAGTTTTTTTATCAAAGTGAGAGTGTTTTCTCTTTCTCTCCTTGGCTTTTGAGCCACGTTTTCAGACTCTGTGTGTGTGTGGGGGGGGCTTACACTTTAAAGGGGGGGTCTCCCTATACTGAACTGATTAAGCATGTTACATATATATATATTGTCAGTAGTTTATGATATTCTTTCAAATATATGCTGATAACATTACAAGTCAAACGCATTCTTGCATGTGGATAATATTCTCTCACTGGCACATGCACGCGCACACAAACTCACTCACTCATGTCTTTATAGTTTCTTCTGTTTCTAAGTTAGCAGCAAACATCAATTGAAAGATCAACAACTTAATAATGCCCGCAATCCTTTTATTATTCAAAGGACTAATAAGAACGGGAAAATAATTACTTTAACAAGCACTACTTTAATTATTCAATTCGAAATTCAAATAAAATATAAAAGAGGGGGAAAACAAGAATGAAAAAGGATGAATACAATTACCAATACAAGAGAAAGAAAAAATAGAGATATGACACCAGTTTTTATTGCATCAATTTCAAGCACGTAGATGCTCTTTAATAGACACAAGTTGGATTATCAATCTGACAGAATATCATCATATTCAAGGCAGATTATTTTCTCTCTCAGGTTTTTTTTTTTTTTAAAGTCTACTCTAGAGAGGGCGCGTACGCACACACATGTATATCTAGATCAAGAAAGAGTACCACAGAAACTGCTGTAGTAGGTTCTGATAAAACATAGGAAACGATCATGATGATGATGATGATGATGATGACGATAATGATGAAGTTATGAACAAGTGGAACCTGGAGCTTCCATATTCATAGAGCTTGCCAGTACTGGAGTAGATGATCAAACCAACTTGGCCGCCACAGAGGATCGAAAGCTCCTTGGCTTTCTTGAGCAATCCACCTCTTCTCTTTGAGAAAGTCACTTGCCTGTTCGCTAAATTGTCAATCCTCTCAATCGCAATCTTCTTTTTCCCCATTTCTTCAGGGCTTCTTAACCACTTGGCCTTCTACATCAACAACGTAACAAATCAGTAAAACTGCAATTATCTTCAAAGGAGTTCTAGACAGGAATCAGAATAATATGTCCCAAAACCATAGATAAAAACCTAGAAAAAATTGAACAAGATTGTGATAAATTGTGCGTGTATATATATATATATATGCTCAAGAAAGCTACAACGCACAGAAAAATTGTAAGCGTATGAAGAAAGTATGGAAGAAGAATTTAATTAAGATGTTGAAGAAGAAGGTGAAGAACAAGAAGAAGACAGCTTATTTATGGGAAGGTGCTAATGAGAGAGAGATGCGCTTTTTATGATTGAGATTCACTGTGAATCCTTTATTTGGAAGCTTCAAGGGGTTTGGTATCCTTGAAAACTGTTTTAGTGCAGTCTAAAACCACTAGTGGTTTTATTTTCAAAAATGTTTTGGATCGGACCTAATTACCTTGACGCTTTGAGTATTAATTCTCTGGTTGAAACCACACAAGAAGCGTCTGCTTTTGGGTCGTGCTGGATTTGATAAGAAATGGGAAATGGAGAACTGACTCTTTAACGACGCGCTGGGAGAGCCCCTTTGACTTATGAATCTCACTTGTTATCCCAAAAAAAAAAAAGACCTATGAATCTCGCTTATCTCAAGGGAGGCTCCTCAATGTGGAATTGATTACATATTAACATCTTGTAGTTTCATACAGTTGAACTAGATCAAGTGATAAGATTTAAAGGTTCAAACCTTCCCAACGTAATATAATATATATATATATATATATAAACTCTAATATAATTTATAATTTGATAATTATATTTACTAATAATCATGTCAATTGTTCTACTAATTACATCTATATATACTCAAGGCCCGACAATTTCAAAGTAGTGTTATATGTATAAGATTCTTAACATCAACAAGATGGAAAAAATTAAATAATTCAATAGTAATTGAACAATGAAGTTAATGAACTTGATATCAGAAGCATAATACCTTCAAACCTATCAGTTAAGACCAATAAAAGTTCAGTTATTCTATGAAAATTTAATTAGTTTCATATCTGTCAAAACATACGCAAGTGTAGAAATTTAAAGACTCATCAAAATAGAGGTATATTCATTACATGCACCTCATTATATAACAATGGATTGAGAAGTTTGTTCATAAGAAGAATAATGGAGTGATCTATATACGCTGTGGAAAATGATGGAATACATTGGCCATGGTGAAAATGTGTTGCCCTAATAATATAATTTAAGAACATATTATCTTGTATTCTTATAACTCCAACAATGGAAAATGGCACTTTCTATATAGCTATTCTTTGTAACTTCTCGACCATCCCTACTCGTTTTCCCTTATATATTTAATTAGCAAAAAAGTCGACCTGATCTCTGCTGCAACTTGTTTCATTTTTTTTTATTTTGTCGGTTTTCGGCCTGAAGTCCATCTAATTTATTACGCGTTCACACTAGCATTCACACTAGTATTTTGATAACCTACATTTCTGAGACGTATATTTTGTGTTCCCAGTAAAACTATTGAAGTTTAATTAAAATTTTAAATCTTACATTGTCTTTTACATCGATTTTTTCATCAATCAACATTGTCAATTCTTAAATACTCATGTTATTTGAAATATTTTGCTCTTCATGTTTTAGTGTGTAATCTAAAGAGTTAATTACTTGCGTTGTTCAATGGGTTAAATATTGAAAGATATGCACTCAATGGGGAATACACTGTAAATATACTTGTTTTGGTTGTATATATGTATACTCATTTTTACTTAAGATAGTTTGTCAGTTAATTAATGAAGAGTTATTGTTTTGTAGGGGCCTTCTAGAGTCTATATATATAGGGCTGGTGACATTTTCATTCGTTGTTCCCGACTATTTTGGACATTGAGAGGCAAAAAGCGTGTAGTTGCAAAATGCTTTGGGAACTGGGGTTTGTGCGTTCTATCCTAGTCATATACTCCATTCATCCAGGCGTATGAGTCACTTTTAGATAAAATTATGTATATCAATAAAATTAATTAAATATATTTTGCAATCTTATCTTTTTAAAATATAAGTATACATTTCAAAAAATGCCTATAATTTAATACAACCTTATTTTTGAAACATTAAATAGAGATAGAGAAAGTATAATAAGGAGGGTAGAGCTACATTGGAACAAGTACAATCAATGAATCGATAATTTTGTAAAAGTATCTTATATTTTAAAATATCAAATAAGTTCTAAATATATCTTATAATTTTGGATGGAGGGAGTATTTGCCTATCTAATTCCTTCCTTTACATTTGTTTTAATGGAGGTTTGTATTAGGTTGTATATATGGCATTTTAGAACAGTGCGTTTCAGTTGTCTGCTCTAGAAATATTTTTCTAGGATTTTTTTATTAATGGCACAGTTGTTTATGTAATTGTGTGCTTAATAATTTCTAAGTGGTCGTTGATTATAGATTAAGGTTTCCTAATTGTATTAGGAATAGAAATAGAGGATACACTGTCAATTAGGTAATGCAGTGTGATCTTGGTTTTTTCTTTTCATCTAATATTTGAAGTTATTGTATTTGGAATTTTCCTTAAACTCATTTTCTTTGTACGAAATAAAAATAGGCGAACGTAAATGAAAACGTGAGGGTAAATTTCACTACATCCCCTTAACTAAACATAATTAAGAATAACCCCTTTGTCTGAAACTTCACTGCTCAGCAGAGGGCTGAACTAAAATTAAAATGATAAAAGAAATGACAAAATTAACCCTCTTTAAAATTAGAAAAAAAAAAACTTTCTTCAGTTTCGTGAAAAACACAGCAATTGTTTATTTTCCCCTATATCAACTATTTATTTTCCATACAGTAATTGTTCATTTTCCCTATACAAGTTATTCATGTGCCTAGCTTTACTTGGTTTTATTCACAATGGTGTTATATTGTTAATAAGAGTTGCAAATTTTATCTACGTTAATTGTTCATTTTTCATACATCAATTGGCCATTTTTCTTACATGAGGTATTTATGTGCCTAGCTTTACTTGTTTTTATTCATAATGATGCTATGTTGTTTATGAGAGTTGCAAATTCTCTCTACATCAGTTGTTCATTTTTCATATATTAATTGTTCATTTTTTTATATGAGTTGTTCATGCACCTCATTGCACTTGTTTTTATTCATAGTGGTATAATGTTAATGAAAGTTGCAAATTCCATCTATGTCAATTGTTCGTTTTGTAAAATTGGCCATTTTTTCTACAAGAGTTGTTCATGTGCCTAGCTGTACTTGTTTTTATTCATATTAGTGTTATATTGTTGATGAGAGTTGCAAATTCCCTCTATGTTATTATTCATTTTTCATACATCAATTGTTCATTTTTTATATATGAGTTGTTCATGTACCTAACTTCACTTGTTTATATTCTTAGTGATATTATCCTATTAATGAGGGAGTTGCAAATTCCCCTTACATCAACTGTTCATTTTCCATACAAATGTTGTCCATGTTCCTTATATGACTGATGGAAGGAATTGGGATTATTTGTATCATTTCTCTTAAAAAACTTAATTTCAATTTATCCCAACTGGGGTCATAGGGATTGAAATGATGTTTCAAAATTTTTTGAGGATTGACTTTAAATAAGTTTGGTCATGGGGGTGCAGTGAAATTTTCCAAAAACTTAAATTTAACAATTCTTTCTTTATTTCTTTGTAAGAGACCTTTCTTTCTTGGTTGAATAAAAATAGTAGCTTTTCGCTTGACCCTTACTTTAAGGATTGATATTAGAAAAGAAACATGATTGTCTGAGACCGATCGAACAAGTCATGAATATTTTTAATATTTTTGTTTTTATAATAATAACTTTATAATTGATATCACTAGCATTGTTGATGTTTTCATTCAATTTTTTAAAATGATAATTGAAAAATATTAACATAGGTATTGCTCATATGGAGGATCTGATCATTTATGGTTGTACGTGAATAATATTTTCATGAGTCTCATGTCAAGCATGGACTTTAAATAGTGTACTTGTGTATAATCATACTTGGATCAAAGATGAGTGATTCGAGACTAGAGCTGTCATTTAGGATAGGGCCAGGCCAGTACTTTAATGTAGAGGATGGTAATTTAGGCTTAAAAGAGCTTGAAAATAAAAGAGTCGGCCCTTTCAAGTTATTTTATTATTTTTTTAAAATTTCAATCTGAAAAAAATAAAAGACTTAGTATCTAATTAAAAGAAAAATCATGGACTCATTCCTTCCTTCCTAATTCATTCATTAAGATTTCATAGATGCTGTTTGCAAAGTCTAATTTTCACATATTGGTGTTAATTTTTATGTTACTATTTGACATTAAACTTGGATGTTTTTTAAGTTTTACATATTTGTTATAGTGTGGATTGGCTTAAATTTATTTTCCTAAACATAATCTCACATGTATAACTTTTTTCATGATTATAAATATGTTTTTTTTAAGTTTTTATATTGAAAGAAAATAGGATTGAGGCCTTCAACCCTAACAGTTAGGGCCATGCCTTGCAAAATGAAATCCAAAAATATAATCAGGTTTATCAAGACAAGCCTATTTAGGCCAAGCCCTTTAAGAGACGACCCTTTAGGACCAAGCGGACTCTAATTAATAATTCCAATAATTGGGATGAGACTCCCATGAACACTCCTAAGTGCAACATGGCATAATTGAAACCCAACACTTTTATCCTACGAGCCTACAGCACAATCACCAACATTACAGCCCTTAAAATGGACAATTTCAACCAAACCGAACTTTAAATATAAAGGTATCAACAGAAGTTCCAATTCCCAGATAATAATACTAGTGGGCAAAGGCAGAATCAAGGCTCAGGAAAAAAGTAATAATAACATTCATCTAAATTTAGTAATTCAACCTCTTTCAAACACTGGGCCCATTTTCCTTTTCCAAAAACATCAACCATGCATGTTATCCTTATCAAAAAGCATAAAAAATTTGGATTAATGTTATGCTATTTTCGTCAAATAACATAATATTTGATGCGTTAAAGTATATGCTCAGAATGTCCTAAATTATCTACCGATATATATGTTCAGCACAAGCATAAGAGATGAGGCTTTATTAAAGACAATAGCCTCAAGCTTAAGATATCTTCCCCCTTGCTTCTATCGAACCCTCTCCTGAAAAACATCAAAACAACAGAGGTGACTAGCTAGTTCTAATCTCAGTACCCACAATAGTTTATAAGCTAGTATATTCAATTCGTTATGAGATAGTTAAGTGGGTTGAGAAGTCGAAAACCTTTAATAAACCTACTTTATAAAACTCAAAAACCTTTCCATAAAACGACTCATGCATGAACAATCTCAATTCTTCTCATACTCTTCTTATTACTTCTGATTGAACCCACAGGCTACTAGTTATACAATAGAATTCGTCCATTTGATCCTAGACTACTCGGCTGCAAAGCTCACAAATGAACCGTGGATTCCCTCTCTTTCACATACAATTAGATAGGCGTTACAATGTCCCAAGTACTTATCCTCATCCTGGCCAAAGGAAATAATGATAGCAAGGGCCTTAAGAATGAGCCAATTAATGATATCCAAAATGGTGGCATATTACATTGCATAAAGGATTCAACTTATCCACCAATCATCATTTCATCACATCTAACCTCAGCCTAATTCCAGAACAAACAATATATGCAAGAAACAATATCAAATCATAAATAACAATTTCTCAAGTCATATTTTCCATAACAAGGTAATCTAAGTTGAATGTCCTACTTAGAAAATAAGATTTACCATTCATAGAACAACAATTCATTTCTCAAGAATAGTAATCATTTACACAAAGGCTTGTTGTTGTTGTAGTAATCATTTACACATATCAAATTACAATGAGCATGTACCAAAATAACGCGGAATTAAGTGAAAATCATGCATAATTGAAATTGAAACCATACAAATTCAATCTAAAGCGTAATACCTATCCTAAGATTTCTCTTGCTAACAATCAAAATTGAAACTCAATCTATAATTTAGAATAATTAGGAATCAACTATTAATTAAAGTCTGTATAGTCAATTTCTCTAACTCTCAAAGACCAAAAACCACCTATTTCCACACCTCTACAATTAGAACCTCGTTATCCAAATCAAATTCCATCATTAACTAACTCAGTTAACTCTTAAAAAAACATATGAATTATATAAATCCTCTAATCCCACAATATAAACGATCCAGTGAATTATGCATTGATGCTATTCTGATTCCAACTATCTTGTTGAAGTAAAATGTGTTTAATGAGAAGAGAAATGATTCCTGATGAAACATCTTACTGGAAAGTTGGCGGCAGCATGGTGTTGAGAATCCTGATCAAAGAGCTATTGCTAAAGGAGCTGTAACCTGTCATTAACAATCAAGTGCTTAGTTGTAATTTTTGAGAAAATGACCAACATTTGCACGTACAAATGTGTTTGTTTGATCTGCGTATATCTTTATTTTATCAGTTTGAAGTGGTATACCCCAATTCCGTTGCTTTAGTTGGTGATTCACTAGATTGAGGCTGTGGCAGGCTCAGCTGAAGTTGGATAGCTTCATGTGATACATATTTGTTGCTGATAGTGTTTTTAGGATGAGAATTCCCGTTTTCCTCATTCAAAACCCTTTCTTCAAGAATCTAAAGAAAGAAAGAGAAAACTCTATGAAAACTTTGAAAGAAAACTTGAGACATTTAGCTTTTAAATAAATAAAATAGACTCTGGAATACAACACATAAATAAGTAAATAAATAACACTGGCTCACTAGCTTGGTGGTGTCTTCCTCTTCCCCCCTTTGCTCTTGTGTAATTGATCAGGGCGTACTTGTTGGAGTAAATAATATGAATTAAAAGATAAAAACCTTTGTCTGTAATTCTGCATTTTCTGTACAGATAAAAGATAAATACCTTTGTCTGTAATTCTGCATTTTCTTTACAGATGACTTCTATCGTTTTATGGAGTTGTGCATTTTCTTGACGAATTTGATTTTCCTGCAACAATGACATCAATAAATTTAATTGACAGAAATTTTTGGAAGTCTATCATACATGGCGAGATCAATCAGAATCAGAATTCTTGAATACATTTTGTTGTAGCTCTTTAATCTCGTCAGTTAAAATTTGATCCTGCAGACAAATCAATGATCAAGTTATTGATATCGTATATGCTTGGACTGCAAAAGTGGTGACATGTTAATTTAAATGTAGATATGACTTGAAATTATCTTTCATACCCTTTTGATGTGGACATTCTTCAAACTCATCTCCAGTTGATTTCCCAAATTTTTCAAATCGTTAATGCCCAAACCAGAAAGTTGTTCACCCATCAATTGCCTATACATTTTCCAAAAGGAAACAAATTACTTAAGATTTTCTACATATTCCAGTTTGTTATATTCAGAATATAAAAAGGAGGGAAACAATTGCACTTTTTAAGAGATAGTTTATGATATTTGAGTGAGTTTAGAAGTAATGTGTTGCAGGGCTCGCTCATTTGCATTTTCAATGTTGAGATCAACATTTTCCGATCACAGAGTAAATAATGCTCGCTCCAATGTATCTGATTTTATTATTGTACCTGTGCAATTCCTGCAATTGTTGCAGTTCTTGCCTCAAGACCGTTGCTTCTCTCTGCCAAAACTAACAAGTACAAGCACAAATAGTAAATATTATATTGAGAAAAGAAGAATCCAATTATAAGGTAGTAGGAAGATGCTTCCAAGTCCAAATCTCTTCATTCACCAGTTACTTGTAATTCTTTCACATTAATTGATCAATTAGTTAATATATGGAAATATATACAGTTGAGGACAAGTTGGCGTGAAATTTGAGAAAATGATAGAAAATTATTTAAGCCAGTTTGGCCATATGTAAATAGGGCGACAGGCCAATGGAGTTGCAAGTTGTCAAATTCTTTTGTATTAAATATACTTGAGGATAATCTATTTCATCAAAATAATTTAAATCATTGTTTAGACACATTTCAAATATTCCTAATCTATTTTCTCATTATTAGATATGGATTCTTTTTTTTTCTCTAATACTAGTAAGGAGTAGTGAGGTAATAGTTTTTAGCCCTATAAAGAGATGCATATAGAGGAAAACAAGAAGAATACTCGGGGACAATATCCATATCGAGATTTATTGGTGAATGGTATATATATCGAGAGACTGGGCTGTACTTGGTGCTAGCTTCTCCTCTAGTTTCTAAGCGATCAAGTATTTCATTTTTGTTGTCTATATAATAAAATTAATTATTTTTCCATTTTTTGTAATTTTCTTGCCTCTTAATCCTCCCCTCCTGTGGTTCTCTCTTTATGCAGCATAGTCTTGCATGGAATTATGTATGATTTATGAATGTCTAGTAATCAATAGGAAGAAACCATTAAAAAAAAATCCTGAGAAATGGTATTTGGTCTTTTACCTTGGCTTCTGAAGCTTGATTCATAAGCGGATGATGTTCCTCTTTTTGTTTATTGTATCGGTCAATAATTGACTTCATGCTGTCATAAACTGAGAATCAATAAGGAAATGAAGCTTTTCTCAATGCAATTAAGTAATATCAGATGATCTTCACTACTCAATGCAATTCCAACCTAGACTTGTATATTGAATAGGTTTTATATAACATTTTAAGCGTGTTATTATTTCTTTTTGGGTAAAAGTGCATTTTCCCCTCCCTCTGTACTTTCCTTTGAGAAATGCTGGAAACCCTATACTAATAAGTGGGACATGTTTTCCACTGAACAATTTTTTAGAGAGCAAAACTCTCCTTCATTACTAATCCATTAACTCTGTCGTTTGCTATTGACATGCCATGTCTTTTGATGCTAATTTATCCCTTAACTCTTTTTCTAAGAGCACTAGACATTCTCAAGTTTTGTTAAAATACAATTTAATAAATATTTTTAAAATATTTAATATTTATTAAGAAAATGATCTTTTAAGAAAATTAATATTGATTAAGTCTCTTAAATTTTCAAGGTCATTCTTTGTAATTTTGTTTGTCAACTAATGATCAAAATAATGGATATTTAGAATTGAAGTGTCACTTGTTTTTAATTGATAATTTCACATAATGCAATATAGTTTCAATTTTAAAATTGGAGGTTTGTTTTCTCCTTTTTAATATAAAGTTGTAAAATATCAAAATATTAACTTTGAGTGGTGCAATATTTTGAAAAAAAATCATTAGTTGACCAAAAAAGTTACAAAGAATGACATACAATATTTAAAGGACTTACCCATTATTAATTTTTATAAGGTCATTTTTATAACTTATTTGAAAATATTATTTTCATTATTATTAGGGTTAAAGTGTGTTTTTCTCATGTACTTTCTTTTGAGGAATGCTTGACACTTTATACTAATAAATGGAGCATTTTTTCTCCCTAAACCATTATTTAAAAGAGTAAAAATCCTCCTTTAATAGATCACTAATAGAGAAGGATTTTTGTTTCTTTGGAAAATGGTTTAAGGAGAAAAATGCTCTACTTATTATACAGGGTGTCCAACACTTCTCGATGGAACTTTAACCCTTTCTTTTTCTTTGGTATCATATGATTGATTTCTTGAGTTTTGACTATCCGAGAAATTTTACACTTTTTCCTTCCTATACATTCAGATCCATATGGAATATGATGAGTTTATTGCAACACTTCATATTGATCTGAAACCTTTCTTTAAATTGGAAAAAAGGAAGGGAAGCCACACTTGGCAATTTTTGGTATAGCCAGCTTCATATTAATCTGGGAAACAAATTGGGCAAAATGGAAGCAAGGCTCATGACAAGATTTTTGTGGGAAAAAAAATTTATGAGTCTTTGTTGGAGCTTAAAAAATTAGTCATTTTATACTATTTTTGAAAAATTTATTTTTTTTATATTTTATGAAAAGTAAAAGCTATTTTGTGTTCATTTTTAATAATAAAAAGACACTATTTACTTGAAAGTACTTCTCAAAATAATAAAAGATATATGTTTTTTTTTAACTTCTTAAAATCATCAAACGGACAAAAGGTTGTTTTTTCAATAAAATAACCGTAGACAAATAAGCCCTTACTAGGATAAATGTCATTATGCCCATACATCCACATAAGATATTTTTTATTGAATTATATGATATATATATATATATATGCTAAAGTGTATATTTAGTCCTTTAACTTTATAAAATATTTTATTTTAGTTCCTTAATTTTATAAAATATCTTTTTAGTTATTTAACCCCAAACACTATTAGTTTTATCCCAAGTTTTTATATTGAACTTTTAAATATTGACAAAACATTCTCAAATATTGACATATTAAGTTTAATTTTTTAAAAAAATAACAATGTTTGACACAAAAAATAATCATTTAAAATTAAAGGACTAAAAAGATCCTTTACAAAATTAAAGGATCAGATTAAAATCTTATATAATCTAAAAGTATATTTTTGCCTATATATATTGTAGATGAGGATTTAGTTCTTCTCTCCTAAAAATGATAATAGAATTGAGTTTAGTCATAGGCAAGTTTGGAGAGTGTGTATTTAAAAAAGAAAAAAAAGAAAAGAATAAAAACTTATTTGAATTACACTCTTTAACTATGTAAAGTATATAATTAAGACAGGGATCAGGGGAAAAAAAGGGGGTACTTTGTAGCATGATGTTAGAATAATAGACCAAAAATTCCATTGACAAATTTTCATGCCTATCAATAATGTTACAGGATGTAGGTCTGTGAATACTTCTCAAGAGACTACCAATCTTTAAAGTTGAAAGGCATTAATAGTTAAAACCAACCACAACTTGCCATATTGCATCGAAAGTCATTTTAGCGATAATTTTACATATTATCTCGTGCACTGGCTCTCAAAAGTTATATTTAGAGTCCAAGCTAGTTGGTTTTCTTTTCTGTTTGGAGAGAGAGAGAGAGAGAGAGTAAATTTCAAGCACACTCCATTTCTATGACAGTGTAACACACTCAGTAAAATTCTTTAAAAAGTTACAATAAAACATGTTGACGCCACTTCAACATTTCAGATTCCTCTTTTGTTTAGTGAGTTTGCCTGTATGGTAAGGGATAGCTTAAACTTTACAAGGTAAGTTTCACTAGACTGTGCCTATTAAGAATACTATATACATATATATTGTCGGGAGGGGAGAGGAGTTTCTGATATACTTTCAAGTCTATATTGATAACATTACAATTCATACACATGAATTTATGTGCGTGGATAATGTTCTCTCTCTACCACACACACACACACATCTTTTTCTTTTTTCTTTTTTCTATTTCTATATGTTAGCAGAAAATTTCAATTGAAAGCTCAACAACTTAAATATAATTTCCATAATCCTTTTATTCAAAGGACTAATAACCAGAAAAACATGTATAACTACTAATATACACTAGTAACATACCATACTTTTAGAAAATTATTCAATTCATCAAAGTGATAACATATATATATTATGTTATTATTTTTAATAATAATAAAAAATAAATTTATTTAAGCTAGGAACAAAAGGAACCTGCAGCTTCCGTATTCATAGAGCTTGCCGGTGCTGGAGTAGACGATCAAACCAACTTGAGAGTCACAGAGGATCGAAAGCTCCTTTGCTTTCTTGATCAATCCACTTCTTCTCTTTGAAAAAGTCACTTGCCTGTTCGATAAATTGTCAATCCTCTCAATCGCAATCTTCCTTTTCCCCATTTCTCAAGGGCTTCTTCACTACTTGGCATTCCACATCAACAACGTAACAAATCAGTAAAGCTGCAATTATCTTCAAAGGTGTTCTAGAAAGCAATCATAATGATATGTTCCAAAACCATGGATAAAAACCTAGAAAAAAAATAAAACAAGATCTGCATATATGCGGGTGTGTGTGTGCTCAAGAATGCTACAACTCACAGAAAAATTGTAAGCGTATGAACAACGTACGGAAGAATAATTTAATTAAGATGTTGAAGATGAAGAAGAAGAAGACAGCTTCTTTTTGGGAAGGTACTAATGAGAGAGAGAGATGCTTTGTATGATTGAGATGAACTTTGAATCCTTTATTTGGAAGCTTCAAGGGGTTTGGTATCCAACACTAAAAAATATTGAAAACTGTTTTAGGGCAGTCTAACACCACTAGTGGTTTTATTTTCAAGTTGTTTTGAATCAGACTTAATTACCTTGCTGCTAAGGTATTATAGTGCGTAATGTTGATTTTATTTGCTGAATCTTACATTTATTTGTCTATTTGATGTTTGACCACCATCAAATATGAATTTGGATGTTGGGGTTTTTTCTTGACAAAGGAGAATGTCATTTGCACCCTTAGATTAAATAATATGGGATTAGATTATTATCTAATTTGAAATTAGGATAGAAATATAAGTGCCCATATAATCAAATTAGAGTGAGTTGGAATTGAAGTTGCCTTTTAGATAATTTTATTAAAAATAACATAATTAATTTGAGAGAGGGTTATTTGAGGTTTGAAAGGTCATTATAGCCACCAATACTCTAGATTAACAAAATTAGAATTAAAATTAATTAATTGAATAAAAGCAAGATCTATGGAGCTAGTAAGGGATTAGTGACTCTAGGTTGTTTTGAACATTTGTAGTTGTTGGATTAGGAATCTCATTGCATTTTATTCATTTCACTTTTTAACTTTACTTAATCAATCGATTCTAATTGGTTTTGCTTAATGTAAATGAAAGCAGAAACTTTATTGCTTGATTGCTATTGTGCTTGATTCCTTGCAAGATCAATCTTGACACACTATTATATTACACCTTGACTCATACACTTGCAGTGAAACATTGTGTGCATCATACAGTGAGGTTGAAACCAAACAAAAAGTGGTCGGTGATGGATTTGGTAAGAAACAGAGAATGGGAAAATGACTCTTTGATGATTCGCCATTGGAGACCCTTGGACGTATTTATGAATCTCATTTTTCATGTAAGGCTCCGTGATGTGGAACTGATAACATTAATATCATGTAGTTTTGTGAAGATGAAGCTAAATCAAATGATAAGGGTTCGAATGAGGTATGAATAGATCATAGATTTAAATGTTTAATCCTTCCTAATATAATAGAATATATATCAATAAAAATTCTATCGTGATTTGTAATTTGATAATTATTATATTTACGAATAATCATGTCTATGCCAATTTCAAGTGTTACATATCAAGATTCTTAACATCAAGAAGATGGGGAAAAGAAAAACTTTAACAATAATTGAACGATGAAATTACTGAACTATTCATAAGGGAAGCATAAAGTCTTCCAAATCTATCATTTAAAACAAATAAAAGTTCAGATATTCTATGAAAAATTGAGTTGCATAACTGTCTAAACATACGAAAGTGTAGAAATTTGAAAACTTGATAATCAAATAGATAGAGATATTCATTACATTATACAATGATGGATTTGAGAAGTTTGTTCATAAGAAGAAAACTGGAGTGATCTATGTTGTGGCAAAAGGGACGTTATAGGTGAGGGGATGGAAAACGATGGAATACCTTGGCCATGGTGAAAATGTGTTGCCCTAATAATTTATTAACATGATCTTGTATTCTTATAATTCCAACAATGGAAAATGACACTTTCTACGTAGTTATTACCCTTATTTAATTAGCATCCAATTAGACTTTGATCTCTACTGCAACACGTTGTTTCTTTTTTATTTTTTATTTTGTCGGTTTTCGGCCCGAGGTCCATGTAATTTATTATGCGTTCACACTAGCGTTCACACCCTAAGTATTTGATAACCTTCATTTCTGAGACGTATATTTCATGTTTGATATAATTCTTGCATTTTAATACAGTACACAGCATATCTGGCCAAAAAATACAATATAAATCATAATTCTTATATTATAAATTATTTTAAATTTAATACAATAAACACATATATTTTGTTAAATAAGTCATGTTATTAACATAATAATTTATATATAATGTTGTTTGTTGTAGAATTGTAGTTTCTATATCATATATATAAATAGATATTTTTAAGGCATTTAATAATAATTAATATCTTCAATATATTGTAATTATAAATTTTAGAATAAAGGTTATTATAGATACACTTTGTTAATTAAACAGTGAATATGTCCTTTTTCTTTGGGATCAAATATGTCTTATTGTTGTTTGGCTAAAAAAATGTCTTATTGTTCAAGTGATATACCATTTTTAATATAAAATATTTTTATCTACTTCGTTAAAATTAAAAAAATAGTTAAAACTAGTTTGTAGAATTAAAATTGTGAAAATAAATCATTATTACTTTCTAATATTACCTTCCAATTAAAATAAATATATATTAATTATCTTCAATTTATTTCTTTTACCATCTTTATTCTCTTCTTATAACATAATTAAATTTGTTTTGAAAAAATAATACTATTGATTGTTTTGCAAAGTATTTTATATTTATCAAAAAATAATAATAAATAAAATAGAGAATGGTGTGGTCAAAACGAAGAACCTTCTAGATCAAAAAAAATGGTGTGCTCAAAAAAGTGGAAACGGTCCTAATTAGCAGTTGAATGTTTAAGGATTGGATGGCCTAAAAAAAGTAGAGCTGATAATTTAAGAGAATCGAATTTATTCAGATTGAATTTAAAATATCTTATCCTATATAAAATGTTCATTCTCATATAAAAAATTTATTCAGCCAAGCCCAACCCTCACACATTCAAGCTTATTTGAGCTAGTCCAAATACCCAAAATTTTTTAAAAATATTTTTCTTTATTTTTGAATCAATTTTAATTTTAAAAAAATTCTATTAATCATAAAATATTATTTTAACTTTAAAATAATAAAATAAAAATAATAACTTATCAACTTTATATATTTAAGTAATTCTATTACTATTTTATTGTATTATGTATGATTTATTCATGACTATTTTCTTTAATTATAAATTAATGTCTTAGTTGTTTAAAGATTTCTCTTCATGGTCATATATAAATATTTATATATATTAATTAAATTATATTATTTTAATTCTAATTAAGTTGACCTCAATTCAATCACGATTAAAATATCAACTTAAAATCATTACTTTGATTAGTTCAAAATTTTTAATAACTTTTGGATAAACTATACTTTTTATTTTTAATAATGTGATAAAAATAGTAATAATTATATTATATAAAATTATTTTATTATGAGTAAAATACTATTTTTTAAAATTATTTTTAACTTTTATATTGTTTAACCCTTACATATAAGGAATATTTACTCTAATTTATTCTTAATTTTTATTCTAGCATGGCATAGATGATAACCAAATAACTATCTAAGGATATTATTCTATTTATTATGTTTATCTAGTAGTAGAGTCAAGAATTCATATGTGCCTGAATTTTATTTTTAAAATTATTTTTAATTTAAATTTTTAGTTTAAAATTAATTATCGTATTTTATAAAAAATATATAATATATTTTTTTGGGTACTCAAATGATGTATAGAACTCAAAAAATTTTTAAAAAAAAATGAGTCTTAAAATGTAAAAATCAATATTAAAATATATTTCAAATATTACTTTGAGATATTTTATTGATTAAAAATAATAAAAACATATGAAAATTTAAATATTTTTAATTTTTTAAAAAATGACTATAATGATGCACTCAAATATATGATATTTTAGTATAGAATAACATCAAACTTAAAGAATTAATTAAAATTTATTATATTTTAAATAGACCTGAATATTTAAAATTATTTTCTTGGATCTGACCTTAAATTTTTTGAACTAGTTCGAACTGGCTCATCCAACTTGACTCAAATTATTAACTCTATGAAAAAGAAATGCAGGGGCAACTTGTGCTTCCTTTTCTTGGAGAAAAATTTTCTAGAGCCATTCTTTTTGTCTTTTTTTTTGTTTAGTATTTAATTTAACATTTTTATGACAAATATGAAATAACTATATGAGTTTATAGAATAGAGATGATTTTGAAATTCACCCCTTTCCAATTATCTCATATTATCATAAAATGATAAAGTTATGTTTGGATAACATCTTAATTGAGATTTAAATGGTTCAAACTTGAATTCAGATCTTAAAAGTTAGGTGAAATGCATAAAGAATGTTCAGATAAAAAACTTAAGGTATTAAAAATCAGATTGGTCATTGAATCAACTGAAGTTAAAGATCAAGAGTGGGGTTTAACAAGAAGTCGAACCACAATCAAACCAGTCATAATTAAAATAATATAATTTAAATAAAAAATTAATAAATAATAATTTTTTTAACCTAAATATCCAAATAAATTATATTGTTGTGATCTAAATAATAAATAATAATAAAATTAGTTAAATAATTATATTTATTTTTTTATAGTCAAAATGGGAGTCCCACTGCTTTCACTCCATCAAAGCATCATCAATTAATTAAATATTAATTTGGGAGTCCTATTGTGATTCTCAAAATTGAGATTAAACCCTTCACTGCACTTTAGTCAAGTCTATCTAAAAGAGGGAAGGAAGCAAAGCCAAAAGCTAACACGCAGAGGAAGTAAAGGCAAAATTCTCAAACCCCCACCAAAGCAACAGCAACAAGAATATAGGAGAGTAAGGGGGAGGGAGACCACAAACCTAACCAGCAGGCATTGAGTAAATCACAGCAGTAGTATGCACAGCGTTCACAAGGTCGGGAGACAAGAGACTCGACGGTGAAAGACTCAACGGTGAAGGGA